CCAGAGCAATGACGAGAGATAAACGAAGAGATTTATGCATAACTGAATCAGAACGAGGACTTCCTACTACGCATATCCAGCCTTTAAGCAGACACTATGAGAGCAAAAAAGGGAAAAGATAGAGAGAGAGAGAGAGATGTAACTCGTACAACAAGTTTAATCATTATTTATTACTTCTAGTTCGTCCTTTCGTTTTTTTTTTCAAAGCATGCTCATCATAATCGTATTTGAAGTGCTTTTCAGTTCATTTCGTTCAAGGTGTCATTGGAGACGAGCAAATATCCGGAAGAGAAGATGCACAAACGTTTGTAGCCATTTAAACACAGTAGCAATTGTTAGAGTAAGAAAACAAAAAAATTGAAAATATATTGAAGAAGGAGTACGTACGCTATAGCATACACAAACACACACACACACACACACACACACACACACACACACACACACACATGTGATGAACAATGGATGCCGTACCTGTGGGCAACCGCTCCAGACGTCTGATGCGTAGAAAATGAAACAAGAAAGGAAAGGATCTTTGACGTTTCCACGTGACTGACACACAATTTTTCCACGTGAAATCAAGAAGAAGCTCATTTTCTTTTTCAACAAAAACACAAAACGGCTTTCTCTCCCTCACTCACTTCCGTCGCCCTGTCATGCTGTGGTTGTTGTTTTTTGTTGTTTTTAATTACTTCTGAAGAACAAAACTGTTTGCAACAACTTCTCTTTTTCTTTTTTTTATTCAAATGTAAAAGGACAAAAATCGCGAGCAAAATAGAAGAAATGTATGGTGCTCTAACTAAAAATGACCAAAAATGATAATTTGTGAGGGAAAAGTGAAGAAGCGAAATGAGGGTGGAAGTAATTCGATATTTTTCAAGCTTCACTCCAAAATTTGATTTTAAATGATATGTCAATTGAATAATTTCGGAAGGAAAAATTAAATAAATTCAGAAAATATATTGTTCAAGACAAATAGAGGAAGTGTATTGAAAGTTATCTAAGAGATATGGCACAGGAGATAGATTGAGTGAATACGGAACATGAGATAATTGGATTTGATGGGAACAAGACATGATGTTCGAAATGAGACTTTTGAAGCTTTTTTTTGGTTTTCATATTCATCACTCATTCTACTCTTGATCATCTGTTGAATCGTCGTCATCTCAATTCAATGGCATAATCTTGCCCTCAAGGCTGGAGCAGCGGTTTTGGGAAAGAAAAAAAAGGAAAAATTGTTTTGCTTTTCATTATTAACGTTATTATTATTATTATTATTCTGGAGAAGAGAAAGAAATGATTGACTTCATCCAAGTCAATAATCAATACTAGCGGAGAAGATGCTATGAGCATTATAGGAGGAAAACAATAAAATATTGAAAAACATAAGTAAATAAAGGATGTATAGACGTCCATTCATATGGAACTCAAGGAAATCACAATGTTCGAAGCTGAAAAATTGCAGAAGCAATGAAGAAATTCAAACTCTTTCGGCTTTGAAGCAGGAGTTGCGTATGTTACTTAAAATTTAATGAGCAAATACAAGTATTTTTGAAAAAGATAGAGAGAGAGAGAGACAGAGAGAGAGGGAGGGAGGTAGAAAAAGTGAAAAAGAGTGAAAATATATTTTTTTTTGTTTGTTCTCCATATTTGATAGCAACAATGGGCATCGTTGTCAATTCAGCATTGAAGATGACATTAAAATATGATGACGATGGAGTGAAGAAAACGAAAAAAGATGTTGACGAGCGAGAAGAAAAAAGAGGAAGAAAAAGAAGAATTGGAAACATCGGGCAAAGATGTAGAAATCAGTCGACTCTGACGTTGACAGAATATGTTCAATTGAATTAGGAATTTCAAACAACAGTCTGATTAATTAAAAATAGGACATAAAAGAAGCTGAGCATGATATATAAGTCATCATATATCCAGTTTTATAACTCGTAAGATTATGTTTTTTTTTTCTCTGTCTTTCCAATTTGAGAATAAAGTCTGGAGAATGCGAAATTGATAGATTCGATGACAAACATAGAGAGAGAGAGAGAGAAGATTTGATACACAACATTCCTCCTACTCATAGCTTGCAATTCCGAATATGTGCTCTTCAGTCAGAGAACAAAGCTGCACATAGACGACTAAAATGGTAATAGAATAAGAAGAAAAAGAGATTCTAGGAGGAGAGAGAGAGAAAGAGATAGAAATGGAGAGAGAGAGTAAAAGGAGCTTGATGATAGACGCTATGCCATAGGCATCTACAACGACGAAATCATCTGCGATGAAGATGATCAAGTAAACCAAACTCAATCTTTTCTCTGTTTTTTTACTGATTTGTTTTTTTTTTGAAAAGTTAACTCACAACGGAGCACCTAGTCTAAACTTGTTTTTATTTCTTTCCAGCATACACATAAGGACTTGGAAACGATAAAAAATATTCAAATGCAGCTCATAAATGAAATCATAAAGCACAGGAAATGTGTTATATACCGGATACGGCATGGAGGTATTTGATATCCTCTGACCATCTCCGTTTTTCGTCTAGCCTCTAGCACTTGAGCACACAAAAAAATATTTCTGTCTTTATTACTTTAGAGATTTGTGATTGGACATAGAAACGAATTATAGAGTTCGGTAGGGAAAAATAATTTGGAGGATGTGTGAGAGGAAGTAATGAAGCTAGAGATTTGTGAAGGAACATTCATGAATTCTGATGTCCATTGGTCAGACAATGGACGTAATCTCAACTCATCTTGAACAGAAGAATATTAAGAGCAAGAGAGGAAGTGGTGAGAAATTTATGTAAAATTCGTAATATGAATAAGAAGTAATTAACCTCGGAAGTTGATGAAGTACATCGAGGAAGGAAAGTTGCGGAGAGAAAGTTTGAAGGTACTGATGAATACCAATTGACAGACAGCAGATTATAGAAAGTGGAGATGAAGCTGTTGATGGAGAGAGACAAACATATTATTCAATTCTAGAAAAGTTAAAAAAAGAAAATTAGAGATGAATAGGTACATGATTAGATAGTTCTATTTTGGAAATCTTCAATGCTATATACTTATGGATGGCAAGAAAACATGGCAGCTAGTAAACGAAAACCATAATTTCAGAAACACAAATTATCAGAACTTAATGAGAATGTGAGAAGAAGTAAACGTAGAAAAAGAAAAAGGATAGATGAAGCTTGGTGTAATGTTGAGGTGGTCCACATATGGACATAATAAACCGAGTTATTGGCCAATGAATGCAACCAAGCGTTATGTGGTAGTATATGTATGTTTTTCCATAGCCAATGGTCTAGAATATCAAATGCCAATGAGGAAAAAATCACAAGAGATGGAGATGCACATTCAAATGATTTCTAGGAATAGGTGAGGCGTGAAATGAGAACAAGGAGCTGAATGGTATCAATAAAGTGATTGCAATACACAATTTAAATAAAGAAAAGGGAAGTCATAGTATATCACAACGAACTCATATCAAATGAAATGAAGAAAACTGTCAACACAAGTAAATGCATAATCAAATCAAATAATTTATGAAGTAGATATATAAATACATTCAATTAGATATCATGTTCCTATTGTTAACTCTCGAAATCGTTTTTTGCTCTTTCAACAAAAAGAATTTTTCAACAGCAAAAAGATTTTTTGAGTTCTACTCAAACGAAGCAAGAATGTAGAAATGAATCATTACGCTGGCGGTGTAGCTTCCCATACATGGATTATGCTATCTCTGAACAAATGTGAAAGAAAAAAGTGAAAGATACTTTCATGTAGAGCTAATCCACACATGAGCATCCGCGCTATTTTATGGACGACAAAAAAAATATTTAATCTGGGCTAATACTAAGAAATAGTTAATACTTATGTTTTTTCTCAAGATGTTAATACAAGAATGATTCATGAAATGAAGAAAAATATTTTGTAATTATTGAAAAATATCTTTTGGAGAACTGTTCATCTATCGAGTATGATTGTTCTTAGCGTTCCAGATGCTGTGTTCTCTCCAAACACACATCTATGTGAACTAAGCGCGGGTTCTTTCACTCTAAACAGGTAACCATGGATACCAAGCCGACCACTGTCTACTAGCTTCCTACTGACTCTTCGGATGTACCAAACGCAGCAGATCGAAATAAATGAAAGCAAAGAGAAAGAAGAAAGCTGTTGAGAAAAAATAAGAAACGCATTAAACATAGGTTCCGCAGATGGACAGATGACCGACAGGTTCACTCTCAGCCCTTTAGCTCAATTGCTTCAATTTTCCGGTAATTATTTCTTCATGTTCTAGATAATTAATGTAAATGAGCTATATCTTGAAGCTTTAAACATTTTATATTATTTATTTAAGCTCTCTTATTGGTGTGTACAGACGCTGGAGCACATATTCTAAAATCTCACGCAACGCTTGAACATACCTCCCTTCATTAGCATGAACGTGTCAAGCGATCTCATTTTAAATTTTCATCAGCTCACAGGCGGTTGCATTTTCTCTTTCGCACAAGATAACATTATAGTAGATACATATGTTACTTAGTCCAGTAAATATCATTTTATATAAAAGCGGGGATGATAGTCTATGATGTTGAAATAGGTTGCCCTACCTTTATTAAAGTAGTAAAACGTGATTAACTACTTTGAACCCACCTGGCATGCATTAAGAGCCGGAATTAGCTTTAGACAAGAATTCCTAAAAGACGCTATAGAGTCAAGCAAAAGATTTATAGATTCTCCCGTCATGAAAAGTTGATTACATAGAGTGTTTATTTATGAATAAATTAGTTTAAGAAACCTTTTAGTACTCGTGATGCTAAGTAAAACCTTCTATTTGGAGCTGAAAGCGTTCAGTCGAAAACATACTTGAAACCTGAGTAAATATTAGAAGTTTATCAGAAATGGGGCTTGAAATGGCAATTCAATATGAACGGAAAATAGATCAGTTTTGATAATCTCAAATAACACAGCTTATTAACCCGTTGAAGAATAAATATGTTGAAATCAGTGGAAAAATATGGCTTCGAAGTGCGTTCTTATTATACTATCGGTTCGCAGTTGAGCTTCAGCCAATGATTGAGAATGTGGAGTATCCGGAGGCAAAATCAGACAGAGGATTCTTGAATTCATCTAAATCATTTTTCAAAATGAAAAATGAAAAGTTTCGAGCTGACCTTTTTAAGTAAAATCCACCAGTTCGAATCGGATTTCACATAAGCTTCTCCGAAATCTTCGTCTTTTGAGATATACTTCTCCATTGTTTCACAAACAAGTCTTGAATCACAAAGTTCATTGAGAGTTCATTCCTAATGTTTCCTTACCTATTCACATCCATGGGTGGAGTAGCCGGACCCGGTCCAGAATCGAAAGAAGAAGTCAGTGAGAGGGAGGAAGGATTGTAATAAATGTAGTGGAAGTCTTCTGCTTCATTAAGTTTTTTGGGATCGTCGAGGCTGGAAGAGTACATAAAAGGTATGTCAAATGCTCAAATCTCTTACCTTTCGCTTATTTCAGATGCTAGTGTTGTTAACTCCGTAGACAAGAAAGCGTCCAGATTTCTCAAGGATTTTCTAGTCATATCAGCCCTCACAAACATGCAAACAGTAGCGTTCATACAACGATAAACTATCTAGAAAAGAGAAGACTAAGTAATACAACTTCTCTTCATGAACAAACCATTTGATATGGCAACAACACTTCTTCTTCATCGTCTCCTTGTGGGGAATGCAAATGAACTGTAGGTAAAACATCCTCTCCTTCTAGAGGTCCGTCAGAATGCAAGTCAGAAGGTCCTCTCAGAAAACGACCATTAATTGGTGATCTAAAACTTACATATATAACATATATATAAAAATTAGACTCTAAGTACCGTGTTGGGTCCAACTCAGATCCTATGGAAGATGGTAGTAAACTATCAGAAAGGTAACGGAAAATCGAAGGCAAATCTTTCGTAGAAACAGTATAATAGAGCAACTTATTCTGAAGAGAAGTGGTTTCAGTTTCCGTTTTTTTCATCTACTTTTACCTGATACAGCATCAAAATTTTTTCGACAACTGGGAATTCTTCTTTTATCTCCGAGGCCAAAGTAACAGTGGAAAGGTAACGCGGACCGGGCAGAGGTAGGAATGCAGCCCCATCCATATAATCTAACAGTTGTACCTTAAATAGATTACAGCTGACGAGATAAACACTAGGAACTTACTTTATGAAGACGAAGCTGTGGAAGAAATCTACTGAAGAAGTAATCTAACCTCTCTTTGAACTTTTCCTCATTTTTGTTTCTAAAACTGTTTTGTTTCCGACTTCTAAAAAATTTCACAAACCGGAAGGGACTGAACTCTCCAAAAAATAAACGGAACATTTTATAACAATTCGATAGAACTGTTATTATAGCAGGAGGAAAAACGTAAAGCTCGAATGTTTCACATTGTGACCTAAACAGCAGGAAATGGAAAAAAAAATTGAGCATAACCCAAGCGGAATATAAAAAAAGCGGAAAAATGAAGGATGCAACCGATCTTCGCGTCATCATAACTGAGAATGATTCATGAACGAAGAGCAGAGAGCATATTAGAGATGGAGCAAGAATGAAACGAACGTTTTACTTACTTCAATAATGAGACTCCTATCAAGAACTCCTCGTTTTCTACTTGAATATAGACTTGATCTGTTTTCTTTGTGCTCACAGTTCTGAACGGAAACTCTGTTTTACGACTCTTTCCTTTTGGATCAACAAAGTTATTTGTGAAATTGACTATAGCCTCAGCGAAACCAGTAACTTCTGTCTAAAATTCAAGTTACAATGATGAATTTCCAAGAAAACTAACTTGACGATCAACAGAGTCGAACTTTGGTGAGAAATACATTATCCTTTTCTCTTCTTCTCCTTCTTTCCGTCCGGAAAGAGGATGAGCGATGAAGAAAAAGTCCATAACATCTGAAAGGTTTACCAGGTAATGAAAACATATTATAAAGATCAGAATCACCTGTAAGTCTGACAGTGGTGTCTGTTACAGAAGACGTTATACTAGTTGAAGAGAAGAAATAGAGTGGATTTGATATGGACCCGCCCAACATGACTTAAGCTAATATCTACTCTAAACAGTTAATGAACTTCATAGAGGACATGAGCTTAACTCAAACTTAGAATTGCGTACGTGGTTTTTATTACCGTAGTCTTGTTTTAGTGAAAAGCTTCATTATATCACTTCTTGATTGTGGTTTCTCCCACCCTCACTCATAATCAATTTTAATATTATCAATACAAGAAACGTATGTTGGGCTTATATGAAGAAATTATTGATTTACTCGCTTGTTGACCTCATTTGTTTATGGTTAGCCCAGAGCCAATGATTTAGCAGAGCATTTGCTCATTTCCTACTTATTTCTGCAGTCGTGTAATCATGCCTATATTATTGAAGATCTGATTATTTTTATTTGAATATAGCATTAATCGTTTTAGCCCTTTACCAATGACTCATGTCTGGCTGAGCGTTGCACTCTCAGCATGTATACCCTGCGTGCTTCTCTTACTATTGATAGTTTTCTTTCAGATCAGCTTTAACTATGGCTCATTGGTTTCATCGGAATCCTATTAAACCTAGCGAGTTCGCTAAATTCGAACTGAAGGGCGTTATTACCAAGGATGTTTGTAGCAAGATTTGCAGGTTAGTCATATGACTTTTACCAGTTTTCAATCAATGGTTTAGTGAATTGCGAATGAGGAGAGAGAAGCTTCTTCCTTTCTTTAAGAGCGCTGCCAATGATTACAATGAGGTCACTAAGGAATTCGATGAGTATATGGCACTTTTTCAAGGTTGTGTCGACAAATTGTAAAGAGGAAAATGTTTCTAGTTTAGGATTTATGACTGATGTAACGGACGATAGCAAAGAAAGTAAAATTGCCCCTCTTCTTCGAATGAAGTGGGGACACACTATGCTTGTAGGAGTGGGGACGTGAGAATTAAAAAGACAAAAAAAAACCTAAGTTATCATTTACAGTGAGTATTCGAACGCTTGGTTCGAAGCTTTGAACTTAGTCGTAAATATGGCGGTGTGGCTCACAAAACATGCGGCATGGCTTGCTGGTAAAGATGAAGTTAATGAGAAAGATGCGAAACTTGTTCACACTTGTTTCAAGCGAGCATCTTCCATGTATGGATATGTTTTGGATAATTTACGTAATGACTTGATTCCATTAAAATCTCAGACAGACTCCTTTCAGATCATGTTTCTGGTATTGAGAACTTCGAAGGATGTGATTTAGATGCCAAAGTTCTTCGTGCTTATCAACATCAATCCACAGCAGAGTCTCAGGAAATAGTAGTTGCCCGAGCTATTGAAATGAAACATCAGCCTCTTATTGTTTCTTCTCTGTCCACTCACACTGCTAACATGTTTTCTGGCGCAGGTTGATCAAAATATCTTTCTTATTACCAAATATTATTTGAGAACGTGAACTCGCTAACTTGAACAAAGACATTTTTGGACGCTGGCGTATTTATCTGCAGCTGAAGCATCATCTTTATCTTTCATATGCTTATGCTTTTCTAGGAGAATCACTTCTCGCTGAAGACAAGTGTGGCGAGGCCGTGAGGTATTTTGACTCTATGTATTGTTTCTTTACGTTTTTGTCAGGGCATGCCAAGAAGGTGTTTCGGAGTTCAATATTGCAGAGGAGTTAGCTGTGAAGTATGCGAAGGCGGATGGCCCTGGAACCCGTATTAAGCCTGAGCAACACATGTTCTTCCGTAAAGTAAAGCCGTTATTAGAGAGACATCTGGAGAAAGCTAAACGTGAAAATGGATTCATTTATCATCAAAAAGTATTTTTTTTCTATCAAACGTAGTTTATTTTTCGTTTCAGGTACCAGATCAGTGTCCAAGTTTGGACGATGAGTCAGCTTATGGTATCACTAAGATTGAATCTTATACTCTTCCTGCTATCAATAAGGTTTTCCAATGATTATTTAGAGATAAAACAAAAAAATTTAGATGTGGACTCCTGATGTATATGCCGCATTCGATTTAAGTAAAGCAGAAATGCCTGATTTTTCGAAGATTCAGAAGAGCAAGAAAAAAATCGATCCCGTAGAAGAGGAAAAGATCTATCAAACTGAAAAAGATCCCAGCAATTCGAGTGGATGCTCTGTCATGTAATTCTGTACAAATGTGAGAAGTCATTCCATTAAGCTAACACTCACCTCAAGATATCATTTGCTCTTCTGAACATAACATATAATTAACTTCTAATAATTAACCATGTACATAACGTTTTCCATAGAGCATTGTACTCTTAAACCTCACGTTGCTATGAAGCTGGAATGAATGAACTTTTAACTTTTCTCATGAGTCAATAGAGATGTTACGATGAAAAAAGTTTGTCTTCTCGTTCTTTGGACTATCATATTCATAAGCTTTATCATTTCCTTTCTTAAATCGTCTTCGGTAGAGTATTCTCAAGATTCAAAACATGTATTAAGATCTTCAGAAGGTATTTTCCGTACCTTTTTAATCTTTCAAAAAAGTGTTGCAGATTATATATTATCGTTCGTAGAGACTGAGAATGTAAATCTGACTGTATGTTCTTCAAAAGCTCGAAAATCTTCAAATTTCCAAGAAGTTCAGAAAGGCGGATTGTTTCGACCGTCAGGTTGTCGTTCGAAAGAGAAAGTGAAAATTAATTCGAGATTCGAACATATGATCCGTTTAAGGTGGCAATTATTGTTCCGTTCAGTAATAGAGAAGAGCATTTGAGCCAGTTTCTTATACAGATTCATCCATTTTTGCAAGCTCAGAATCTCGAATATGGTATTTTCGTAATTGAACCAGTGGAAGACTTCTTCACTTTCAATAGAGCTAAAGTTCTGATCATTCACTTTTCTAGTGTTTATAATGGTTTTTGAAGTTAATGAATGTTGGCTTCGTCGAGAGTTCAAGCCAACACGATTGGAATTGTTTCATTTTTCATGACGTTGATCTACTGCCTTTGGACCATCGGATATCCTACTCATGCACTGAGTCACCTGCTCATCTTAGCAGTGCAATCGACAAATTCAATGAGAGGTTTGAGTTTTAAAGAAGATAACTTTAAATAATCCAAATAGTTTACCTTATCCACACTATTTCGGTGGAGTTTGCGCTTTCACTAAACAAGACTATCTGTCTGTGAACGGTGCTTCGAACAGATACTGGGGTTGGGGTGGTGAAGACGATGATTTGTATCACAGGTAACGCAGAGAAAGCCTTAACACAATAAGTATACATTTAAATGATTTCCGAATCAAAGATAAGAATGCCATGACGTTTGAGCGTTTTTCAAATGAAAATGAAAAAATTTCCACGCTGTCCACGTGTCCTTATTTTAATTAGAATATTTTAAGAGTCGGATATGCAAATTTGTCAGTTTCAAGACTCCCTTCACACATAGGTCGTTATCGAATGCTGAGCCATAATGAAACAGAGAAGCATAACGAAGAGAATAAGTTGTTACACATGATATACAAGGGAATATTTTTGTTCATTTTTTCAGTTGTCGTTACAATTTGTTGAAGTTCACAAAGCGAGATTGGAAATCGGACGGTCTTCGAAGACTTATTTACAGATTGCATTCAATCAATAAGTATAATCTCTACACACATATAAAAGTAACAAATAGTTTTATTATATTATTAATTTGAAATGGAAACACTGTTTAAGGTGAACTTGCTACAATCACGAAGTCGATTTGATGATGTACTGGCCAGATGCAACCAATTTTGATGGCTCGAACTTACCGACTCTTCCCTCCTCTTCTCCCTCTCTCTCTCTCTCTCTCTCTC